CCGAGTGCTGCCGAGTGCGTGACTTCGTACGGTTGGATACCGATCAAGAATCGACGCCGTGTGGATGTGTTTTGCTAGTGCAATGTGCATGAAGCCGCATCTAAAGGTACAACTCGTCGAAAGCAAGTGTCGGCGGTCTCGCGGCGTAATCAAAGCTTCCTTGGCATGCTGAGTGCTGCCGAGTGCGTGACTTCGTACGGTTGGATACCGACCAAGAATCGACGCCGTGTGGATGTGTTTTGCTAGTGCAATGTGCATGAAGCCGCATCTAAAGGTACAACTCGTCGAAAGCAAGTGTCGGCGGTCTCGCTGCGTAATCAAAGCTTCCTTGGCATGCCGAGTGGTGCCAAGTGCGTGCCTTCGCACGGTTGGATACCGATCAAGAATCGACGCCGTGTGGATGTGTTTTGCTAGTGCAATGTGCATGAAGCCGCATCTAAAGGTACAACTCGTCGAAAGCAAGTGTCGGCGGTCTCGCTGCGTAATCAAAGCTTCCTTGGCATGCCGAGTGCTGCCGAGTGCGTGACTTCGTACGGTTGGATACCGATCAAGAATCGACGCCGTGTGGATGTGTTTTACTAGTGCAATGTGCATGAAGCCGCATCTAAAGGCACAACTCGTCGAAAGCAAGTGTCGGCGGTCTCGCGGCGTAATCAAAGCTTCCTTGGCATGCCGAGTGCTGCCGAGTGCGTAACTTCGTACGGTTGGATACCGACCAAGAATCGACGCCGTGTGGATGTGTTTTGCTAGTGCAATGTGCATGAAGCCGCATCTAAAGGTACAACTCGTCGAAAGCAAGTGTCGGCGGTCTCGCGGCGTAATCAAAGCTTCCTTGGCACGCTGAGTGCTGCCGAGTGCGTGACTTCGTACGGTTGGATACCGATCAAGAATCGACGCCGTGTGGATGTGTTTTGCTAGTGCAATGTGCATGAAGCCGCATCTAAAGGTACAACTCGTCGAAAGCATGTGTCGGCGGTCTCGCTGCGTAATCAAAGCTTCCTTGGCATGCCGAGTGGTGCCAAGTGCGTGCCTTCGCACGGTTGGATACCGATCAAGAATCGACGCCGTATCAAAGTTCTGAACGTGTGTCGTGCGTAGATGCCTTTAGATAATATATATATATATATATATATATATATATATATATATATATATATATATATATATATATATATATACATATATATATATATATATATATATATGTATATATATATATATATATATACATACATCGATCACGGAGTTCTGGATCGTCCAGCTGTTCCGGTCAGTTGCTATCAATTAAGGGGGGGTGGGAATCTGTACATGTTCTTATCTACTATTAACCATGGCTATGTTCCAAATCTACTCTAATGGATCACATGGGAGTACGAATAGAGCAAAGCTGTGGAGCAAGGAGGGTTTCCGAAGGCAAAAGTACAAGACGGCGAGAATGAAAATCTTTGAAGCGAGCGCGGCCCATATGGTCGTGTGCAATCTGTCGACCAATCCCAATTAGGCGAGCCGCGCTCAAACGTCAAGTGCAATTAAGCAGGTTCATAATGAGCCAGCACTGATCAGTGATGAGGAGCTGTTTTGCGCAGTATTCTGTGAATCGTCTAAGGACGAAAAAAAGACGTACCTTCCACCCCTCTTCCGTCGCTACTGGACGCAGGATTAAGCTCGTATCTGGACCGCGAGTGCCGCAAATATACAGTCGTCAGAGTAAAGTAAGACGCTGATCCAGAGGCGCACACGGCTTCACGCACATTGCACTCACAAAACACATTTACACGGCGTCGATTCTTGGTCGGTATCCAAGCGTGCGAAGGGACAGAGACGCGGCACTTCGGCATGCCAAGGAAGCTTTGAACACGCCGTCAGACTGGCGAACTTGCTTTGACGAGTTGTGCCTTTTTCCTGCGACACTGCGCTTTCGTAAAATTTTCCACGTGCTCACTGCGAGAAGTCTCAACAGTACACATAGTCTTAAAACACTTCTTCGGCGAATGACGACGAACGAGTAGAAAACGTTTCTATTACACGCTGGAAAACCGCAGCAAACCGATAGCAAAACGAAATAATTTATCATGCACGATGGCCGTCCGGTGGCCGCATTCGCGCTGCAACGAACAAGCGGGGACCGGGGATGCGCGATCCAGCAATTGTCGTAGAGATTAGTGAAGGGGACGCTGTTGTCGTATTTAGTTTGGTCTCGCTGGACGCGTGCGGTCCGGGTTTCAAGGGTAAGTTTTCCATCCGACTGTTTTTGTAATGCTGTGAGAAAACCACGCTGAAAAAAAAAAAAGTACTTGGAAAAAGAAAAACGAGTTAGAGATGAATTTTTGAGTATTTTATGATGTGAATCTGAATATCACGTTTGTTTTCCCCTAAGATGTATCTAAACGCGAGAAAACACGAAAAACCTCCGATCAGTCGTTACGCCATACCAGGATCATTCGGCCACGAAGCGCGTCTCGCTCGTGTGGACAGCGCGTACTATTCTTGGCATGAACCCGCACACTCGCGCCAGTCGTGACGTCTTTGTTAACTTTTTTTTTTTTTTTTTTGAACATAGCAAGAGTAGTTTGTTTTTCAGCCTCCGTCTCACGGGCGCTGCCGTCATGGAATCACGTGACGCGGCCGCCGTAAGGTGACTTCAAATCGTCGCTCCTCTCTCCCCTCCGCGCCCTGGCAAAGGTGTTTGTGTTTTTCGTCGCGTTTTACCTCGCTTTTTTGCCTTGCTTTGTGAAATGTCGTCCGATACTTATTTCTTCTGCCTAACTGCATGCCATCATTACAGCACGTTTTGTCTATTTGCACCGTCGGCGTACCGGATAGATGTGGGAAAAGGAATCAGCGTTAGCACTGCAGCGCACATTGAGTATGTAGCTGACTCTAAAAGTCGGTTCACACAGGCACGCTTTTTTGCGTTAAGCGTGTTTCACATGCGGCGATTTTGGCCCTAGAGCGGCGCGATTTCTGCCGTCGCGGCTCTCGTGCCGCTCAACCGCTGGTGCTGGCCAGAGCGCCGTGACGGCAGAAATCGCGCCGCTCTAGGGCCGAAACCGCTGCATGTGAAACGCGCTCTATGTTACGTTAGGTTACGACCGCTTACGTATAGCGAGTCACCGGAACATCCGTGCTTCCAATGAAGCATGGTGACCGGTTCAAGGAGCATCTTTGCACCCGACTTTCGAAACACCAATGGCCCGGTGACTCCTCACGTAATGTAAGAAATCATAAACAAACGACCCTGTGTGAACCGACCTTAAGACACACGAGGGTTGAGAGAGAGAGAGAGAATAAACTTTATTCAAATCGGCCCAGCAGTTTTGCTTTAGGGCGGGATGGGGGAGAATGGAGATGCCAATTATTTATGACAACGCAAATTTTCCTAAGTGATAATGGCGCAATAAGAAGCGCAAGATAAGCTATTTATGATGTTAAAAAACAAAGCAAATATAGTCAACGGAACAAGTCACTGCGTGTTTTTTTTTGTTTTTTTTTTGGGGGGAGCACCGTGTTCCGCCTTCATAACAAATGCAAAACAGTTGCTTTTGATTACATCGGGGAATCGTGTTTCCGGTATACACGTTCGTTTACTCTATTTCCTTATTAAACAAACTATACACGGTGCTTGGTCTCATATCTGCAGTCGTTCAGCTTTTTTAAGATAACTAATTAAATTAATTTATTTAGACACCGAGGGTTGGGCTTCCCGGGTGAAAAACGTGTCAAGGACAGCTTGTGAGCGCCTGACGAAAGCGCCAGAGGAACGCAATATGCGACGCCGAAAAGAAGCCGCCGAGTGCAGCGTTGTCGATGCCGGATTTACTTTCGGCGCCGCTGAAAGCAAAAAGCGTATCTGTTCAAACAAATACAGATCCGTCTACACAAATCAATGAAGTGGTGCCTGGCATTTGACTTGATACAAGCTTCCTGAAGGTCAATTCTCTCGCGCCATGCAGTTTTATTTCGCAAATTATACGGAAGACGGACGTCACTTCAATTGACGGGTTGGTCCCTAATCTCATATTCTTAATACGTTGTAAGAAAATGTCGGTATAACAAATAGTTTGCTAAGGTCAATGTGAAATACTGCTAATGAATACCGCACTTTCGCAGGGCTGCTAGATAGTGTAAACAAGCCACATTCCGTGCCTCCGGGTTTACCAGACTGATCAAAACATGTTTAATCCTATTACTTATAGCTAAGAGTGTCTTGACCTGTTTGTAACAATTTTTCGCTACAGACAACCGTGCCACAATTTGCATGAAGTTCTGCTCATTAACACACTATGTGTCAAAACTATAATAACCATTACACCGCTGGGGGGGGTAAGCTGTCCACTAGCATATGACAAAGCAGCTGTGTCCAATAAAAATACTATAAAATCATGTCTGAATGTCCCACCATTGTATTGACATATACAAACTTGTAACGTCAATGTTGACAACCCTTCAATATCTGTGTTGCTTGTCCAATAGGGTGTGACTGTCCTTGATAACGTCTTTTAGCAAATTCATCGATCGTCTGCAGTAGCGAGGCATAATAACAGACAGAACTATACTTCGTTTGGCCTTAGGTCCAGGCGGAGCGGACGCTACGCGAGTCGACGGGACCAACCAAACAGCGTCAAAAGTGCAACGTCTTGGTGCTCTTCGTGCTTTGGTAGTTATATCCTCGCTAAACCAATCATGCACAAGGAAGGCCCAGTGACTTTTGCTTTTAATATCTGCGTTCATGGTGGCACCTATTTTCTCCTTCTACTACGCTCGGGGATGAAACGAAGTATATTACGCTGCAGGTACGGTTTCAATTTTTACTGCTTTCGTTGTGTTGTTTATAGAAAAAAAAAGTGCAGTTTCACTGAACATACTTCATCATCGATCTGCGAATCACGACAGGCCACGCAATATCTCAGAGTGCCTGCAGCCGTCCCTCAAAAGGCGGGTTCCTGAGGTCGCTTCCCGCACTCTTCGCGCTAGTCGGAACACTCGCACAACCTGCAGCCATGAAGCCCAACAGCGTGGCGCGTGTCTGGAGCCGGATCTGTAACTGTCGTCTGGAGTCCCGGTCGTGTAGGGACGTCCTGGCCGAGTTCCTGGGCACTCTCATCCTCACGCTCATCGGGGACTCGGTCCTTGCGTCTCTGACGGCGTCCAGGCTCGGATATTTTGGCATTGCAGCAGGACCGCTGGGTGAGTGCAGCCTTGTATACGTTACTGAAACGAATTGATTACAGCTGGAATAACTCTCTGTTAAAATGGATTTAATTAGGTCACTCGATTGCTTGATCAGAAAATCAACTGGCCGCGGTACTCAATGAAGTAACCGTTGTTTAGGTTTTCAATACGACGCATTTGTTGACGGCTTTAAGAACGGCTATTTTGTACTGTTCATTGTTGTATAAGGATCGCCGCATTTTAAACTATTTATTTTTAGTCCACACTCTTGTTTAAATCTTCCTGACGTCGATTTGGTTCGAGGATTCTCTGCTAAGGAACTTGTACAAAGGGCAACATTATAAAGGGTTCGAAAAAATAGTTACAAATGGTTTTATTGCTTTCAAAAGTACTGTGATTGCTCCCTAATAAGCCTATTCCAATTATTACAAAGTTACTGAAAGAACGTACTCTATCGTAAGTAATTTGATTATTTATAATAGTTTTCTGCAGATTGCTTAACAATTCCGCGCACGCCGGCCTGCCGGTAGATTGCGGCGTGAAAAAGCAAGTGCTGATTGTTGGGCAAGTTGGTATGCTACGTTAGAAAACATGATTGCGCTTTGAAGACTGGGACATAGGAAGGACAGACACCCCAGAGCGCTAACTTTCAACTGATTTAATTCAAGAACCTTAGCGTAGAAACACACTGCGTCACCGCACCGCATCTCAACCAACCCGTGGCCCATGCCACAGACCGCAAGTACGCCAACTCCTTTCCGCCAAGTCAATTGACGCCACACTGACACGACACATGCCGGAACTATTTATAGCGTCAGCCTCCCATAGTCTCTAACAGTCCTATGTTTGTGCCTAGCAAGAAGAGTAGACGAAGCAAATAATGAATATTTGCTTATTTACTTATTATTTGCAAGTAATGATTATTTCTTTATTTGCTTCTTCTGCTGTTCTTGCTAGGCACAAAGATAGGACTGTTAGAGAGATTATGGAGGCTCACGCTATAAATAGTTCCGGCACCTGTTGTGTCGGTGTGGCGTCAATTGACTTGGCGGTTAAGAAGTTGGCGTACTTGCGGTCCGTGGCAGGGCCACGGATTGGTTGAGATGTGGTGCGGTGACGCAGTGTGTCTCTACGCTGAGGCTCTTGAATTAAATCAATTGAAAGTTAGCCTTCTGTGGTGTCTGTCCTTCCTATGTCCCCGTCTTCAAAGCGCAATCATGTTTTCTTAAGTGGAAAAGGAGCTCTGCGAGACTGCCGACCCGCTGACTTGCTGTCTCACGCCGCGATGGGGTGCTTGTCTACTGGCAAGTTGGCGTTCGCGTGGTGTTAAACAAATCTTGGGGTTCAAGAATAAAAAAAAAAAACAGAATTTAAAGAAAGTGGGCCAGCACTACATCGTTCACATTGTGTTCTGCTGCGTGCTCCACATAGTAAGGCTTTATCTGTCATCTCTACCATTTGTGCCCAGTTCTGCACACAGACTGAACGGAATAGCAGCGCACTTCAGTTGTCTTCTCGTGCAAGTTGTGTTTAAAGTAACTTTGCAGAAGCCCTAACCACAACGAAGCCCCCAAAGGATGTGCCGTAAAACGTGCCAATCGGACCGTTCCTGGTGAAGAGCGGGTGGTGTACTCCATCCCCTTTTCACGCGGTCACCGATATATTGGTCAGACAGGGCGTTTTCTGAACAGCCGCTTAAGAGAGATCGTCCTCGAGGTTTCCCGTGCTTCAAAGCTTACCTTATCCAATTGGGGTGCATAAACGCCTCTGCACGAACTGTGAAACTAATTTCCGGAACACCACCATAGTTGGGAAATGCATGAACAAGCTCGGCGAGAGATTATTGAAGCCTATTAGGATGGCTGGTTACGAATATAACATATCGCTGCTTCTTCTCTTGGGTTCTCTACTAAGGTTGATGTGAACTACCTGAAGCCAGAACTGAATTAGTCAATGGTGTTTTTTTCTCCTTTATCGTTCTTTTATTTTGGGATTTTATTCCCGGTGTTTTTCATGTCTCCTTCATTTTCACAATCTAGGAGGGAGATAGTACTTATTGAAGGATGCATCAGTAAATGTCTAAAAGGATGTCTCAAAAAGTCTCGCCACCATGCAATGTCCTTGAGTATGATTGAGCAAAACGAGCGCTTGCAGTGTGTCGGGTTTCCAAAGACTAGGATTGTGTCTCTAGTATAAGGCGTAAGAAAGGACGTTAGCTCGCGCCCAGAGGCAGGTCAAGCGAGAAAGAGTTGCGGTTGTGCCTTACATGCACAGAACAGCGCACGGTCTTGGAAAATATAGCAAAACGTGTACACGTAGAAGTTGTTTAATGTGCGCCCGAAAAGCTCGCAAACATATGCAAGCTGACGGACCATTTCCGAAAGGTACCTATGGGCTGCCCAATCAAGCACAGGAGTCCGTTTGTCGCGTGCACTGAAGGTGTGGTGTGTCAGGTTCCACTTTCATGTGGCAAGATATATGTCGGCCAGACAAGCAGGTGTTTAAATGTACGCCTAAGAGTACACTACCAGAAAGTGAACGGGGTTCGGGAGGACCATCTGGTCGTGTCACTGTCATGACTGCGGGTGCAAACCACTATTTGCTTCTTCCACCGTTCTCGCTGAGCACAAAGGTAAGACTGTTAGATGGATAATTGAAGCGGAAGTCGTAAATACTTCCGGCACGTGTCAGTGTGGCTTCAGTTGACTTGGCTGGAAAATAGTTAGTGTACTTGTGGTCCCTGGCGGGGCCACGGATTGCTTTAGGTGTTGTGCGGTGACACAGTGTATATCTGCGCTGCGGCTCTTGAATTAAATCGGCTGAAAGTTAGCGCTCTGTGGTGTCTGTTCTTCCTCTGTCCTTGTCTTAAAGCGTAATCACGTTTTCTCAGGTAAATGTCCGTTGCTCGTTTAAAGAAAGCTGTGCTGTCTGTCCTTGTCTTCGGGTGTTTTTGTTCACACTTTGGTTCTTGCATTTTCACCAACCCGGTTCTTCGTCGTTGTCGTTGTCGTTGTCGTTGTCGTTTTTTAATTCTCGGTGCGTATCCCCGGAATTGAGGTGCAGTCTTTCGATCCCTAGAGACTCTCGTTCAGCAGCAAAGTGGAAAGTTGGGCCAGTTGGTTCATTGTTCTTTAAATAATTAAAAGCGTATATGAAATCCCCCTGCCATGCGACGATGTGCACACTGGCCAGACGGGCAGATGCGTGAATGACCGCGCCCGCGAGCATGCGGCTGCCACGCGAGCCAGCCCGTCTGGCCATCTCGCCATTCATTGTAATAGATGCCCGTGTACGCCAGTGCTACATGGCATTAAGATTTTGGCTCGTTGTCGCGACCGAACAAGCAGAGGTGCACGAGGCCAATGCAATTAGTGATAAGGGCGTTGAGTGTATAAGTGAAGCGTCACTCGCCCTGTCAAAGGGCGAGTTTGAATATTTGAGAGAAGCATTGCGAGGGACACCCTGATGACTAACAGGGTTCTGTGGCCTATAAATGCATGTACTTTTCAAAATAAAACAGTTGCGAGTGCGCCTTGTGTCGTTCCACTTCTTTGTCCTTGTCTTTTTTTGCGCTTTTAATTGGAGAATCTCGTTATACGCCAGGGTATGCCGCGTCGTTAGGAAGGTGGACAATGCATACAGGCCATTACACTCAAGAGGGATCGCCGCCTACGCGCTGCCATTTGTATACTAGGCTGTGTAATACATTCTGGGCATGCGTAGTCTCTCCTGCTCAGTACCGGTCGCGGCGCATGCGCCCCCAACCCTCCCTACGTTTCTGAGATCGAGCAGCCCTTGCATATTCCAAAATGTGTTTAGTTTATTTTCAGTTTTAAATGGCTAATGTTCGTCTGGATGGTGTTCATTTAGCGGAGCCAGTACTGCAGCATAAGTAATTCACCAACTACTACTTCTCATCTTTTAATACCAAGTGACTTTTGCGTTGTAGGAATCAACCCTTCACGAGGGTGCACGTTCCTGCGGTGATGGGCGGTTCTGGAAAACGGAACTTGCTGGGAGTGATGCTTATTGTTCGGTGTCCGTTTTTTCTTCTATAATACGTCCTTCATTATCTCCTGCAGGCTGGGGACTCGCGGTTTATCTCGGCATCATCGTCGCTGGTGGCGTCTCCGGCGGCCACCTCAACCCCGCCGTCACCCTGGGACTAGCCTCCGCCGGGAAATTCAAGTGGGCCAAGGTGCTCCCGTACATCGCGGCGCAGTACCTGGGCGCCTTCGCCGCTGCAGGGCTTATCTTCCTCCTCTATCAGGACGCCCTCTACAAGGTGGACGGTGGCATGCGCGTGGTCTACGGTCCAAACGCCACCGCTTCCGTCTTCTCCTGCTTCCCGGCACCCGAGGTCCGCACGTTGACCTGCCTCCTGGACCAAGTGGTCAGCACCGCTGTCCTCCTGGTCAGCATCTGCGCCATCGTGGATCCCAAGAATATGGCTGTCCTCAAGGGACACCAGCCCCTGCTGATTGGGTTCGCGGTGGCAGCCTGTATGTACGCCTTCTCTTACAACTGCGGCAATCCGCTGAACCCAGCCAGGGATCTGGCGCCAAGAATCTTCACTGCAATGGCCGGCTGGGGCTGTGACGTCTTCTCAATCCGAGGCTACAACTGGTTCTGGGTGCCTGTTGTGGGCCCTCATGTGGGTGGCGTCGTCGGTGTCTGGGTCTACAAGTTTGCCGTGGAGAACCACTGGGCTACCGATGCTGCTGCAGTCGTCGGAAAAACACCCGAAGAGGAGCATGACTACGAAGGGAAGCGCCGCCTTCTACGACAAGACACTCATTACATTGAGGCTGACATTGCATCGTAGCTGGCATCGGCGATCTGTTAGATATCCTTCTTCCGCATTCGTTAATTTAATGGTGTTCTGCTTTAATAAATGTTTTTTTATTTGACGATCTCTTCGTTGTCTAAAAAGAAATGCCTATTGCAATCCTTGTTGTGCTTCCATAATCTACCACTGTTTGACAAGCTGTGTGGCCACTTTCTGGATGCTATCCCGTCACTTATGTACAGTCGGCCGTAAAAAAAAATATTGACACAAGTGATCCGTGGCCGGTGCGGTGAAACCGCCACACGCCGCGCTATATTTCGCTATAACACGGAACGAGAGTGGCCGGAACGTTCCCACTTTTGAATCGCAGGGGTGCTTCAAGAGATAAAGTTATCGTTTGTAGCAATTTTTTTTTTTTTACGTTTGGTTTGCTTTTGAGGGTGACGAGTCACGCGTGAGACGACGCTTTTTTCGTTGTGGTGGAGAAAGTCTTCGCAGTGATATCTATTTTATTTGCTGTTTAAAATTTGTGCGTGGGAGATTAGGCGCTTAAAGGGACACTGACAGGGTATTTATGCTCGCCGAAGTTTTTAGTTGTACGTGACATATGAGAACTTAACTACCCAGAACAGAATTTGCGGCTCGAAATTCTGTTTCTTTCCGCCCGAAAACCGCCGATCAAGAACTGGCCGGTTCGAGTCTCGCTCACTCTCTTTTCCGCGGTCACGGGCCGTTTTCTAAGGTATCAATGCGACCACCAAATTTAATCAAAGTCGTGAGTCACTGGAGGCACACGCTCAATATTAAAAATAGAAAAAAAAAATATGAAACCCATTTTTTGTGGCTTCTAAAAAGCTGCAAATACGTTGATTGAAAAAAGTTCCATAGACAACCGGAAGCATTCTGTGCGTTCGTCGTTTCGCGTATCGTGGGGCTCGCGGGGACGGCGATGGCAGCGGACGACGGGCGTGGAACCTTTAGTTCAGAACTGTCGTTCGCGGTTCCGGAGAATTCTGTCTACTTTTAAAAGAGAAATTTGGGACTGATCAAAAGAACTGGTATTCATCCCGTACGACACAGCCGACCACCAAGCCGATTTGCACGAAGACGTCGCCGAGCCGTCGCTCCCTTCTCGTGGCTGATGACATCGCTCGCGCAAACGTGAAGCACGACGTGTCTACTTCGAGTGGAATATGCACGCGTACAATTTCTTTACTAGGTGCGAATGTCGCCAATGCGTGGTGCTTCCCGACTTCGACCCGGGAGTGCTTTTGCTAGAGGAAAATCGGTAGCAAACTTTCCAACTTACAGTTTACCGGCTGTATTATTACTAAGGAAAGAGATCCACCAGTTAAGCGAAAGTGGACCGTGGCTCTTGCCCCTTGGAATTGCGCGTCCATATTGTTCGATTCATTGATGTATATATATATATATATATATATATTTTTTTTTTTTTTTTTTGTAGAGATGGCATAACCGCTGACGCGGTCTCATACTGTATCTTTTGCGTTTCCTCTCAATCGTTTCCGCCCAGTCTGGTCTGTATCAGCGCGAGAAGAAGGTTCGCACAGTGGGAGGTCAACTAGGGCTAGCCTTTTATTATGGCGCCTCCGTGATCTGCCCGGGCACGAGCTTGCCCGGCACGAGCTTGGTTCACTGGTGGAGCACGCTCCCGTTACACCTTCCTTTTTCTTTCTTTTTTTTTTTTTAACACACACGAGCGAAGTCGAAGTAACAAACGAACAAACAAAATTAACAAACAGCATCCACTAGGAGAGTTGATTGAAATTGGCATCGTAGCGAAGCCGCTGAGGAAGACGCCGCATCCGTGTCGAGGCTCGCGTTGGTGCCCGGATGCCAATGACCTGTGGAGCGACTGCGGCTGCACCAATTGCGGTGGGTGGGCTTTGTGAGCCAGATGTGCCCGGAAGGTTCCTAGATGGTTGCGGCGAGGTCAACATGGGTTCGTCGTTGTCGTCGGGCTGAGGGTCAGGGACAAAGACTTGTCCCTGACTTCTGACACCATGTATCCCACTTCTGACACCATGTATCAGCGCGAGAAGAAGGTTCGCACAGTGGGAGGTCAACTAGGGCTAGCCTTTTATTATGGCGCCTCCGGGATCTGCCCGGGCACGAGCTTGCCCGGCACGGGCTTGGTTCACTGGTGGAGCACGCTCCCGTTACACCTTCCTTTTTCTTTCTTTTTTTTTTAACACACACGAGCGAAGTCGAAGTAACAAACGAACAAACAAAATTAACAAACAGCATCCACTAGGAGAGTTGATTGAAATTGACATCGTAGCGAAGCCGCTGAGGAAGACGCCGCATCCGTGTCGAGGCTCGCGTTGGTGCCCGGATGCCAATGACCTGTGGAGCGACTGCGGCTGCACCAATTGCGGTGGGTGGGCTTTGTGAGCCAGATGTGCCCGGAAGGTTCCTAGATGGTTGCGGCGAGGTCAACATGGGTTCGTCGTTGTCGTCGGGCTGAGGGTCAGGGACAAAGACTTGTCCCTGACTTCTGACACCATGTATCCCACTTCTGACACCATGTATCAGCGCGAGAAGAAGGTTCGCACAGTGGGAGGTCAACTAGGGCTAGCCTTTTATTATGGCGCCTCCGGGATCTGCCCGGGCACGAGCTTGCCCGGCACGAGCTTGGTTCACTGGTGGAGCACGCTCCCGTTACACCTTCCTTTTTCTTTCTTTTTTTTTTTTTAACACACACGAGCGAAGTCGAAGTAACAAACGAACAAACAAAATTAACAAACAGCATCCACTAGGAGAGTTGATTGAAATTGGCATCGTAGCGAAGCCGCTGAGGAAGACGCCGCATCCGTGTCGAGTCTCGCGTTGGTGCCCGGATGCCAATGACCTGTGGAGCGACTGCGGCTGCACCAATTGCGGTGGGTGGGCTTTGTGAGCCAGATGTGCCCGGAAGGTTCCTAGATGGTTGCGGCGAGGTCAACATGGGTTCGTCGTTGTCGTCGGGCTGAGGGTCAGGGACAAAGACTTGTCCCTGACTTCTGACACCATGTATCCCACTTCTGACACCATGTATCAGCGCGAGAAGAAGGTTCGCACAGTGGGAGGTCAACTAGGGCTAGCCTTTTATTATGGCGCCTCCGTGATCTGCCCGGGCACGAGCTTGCCCGGCACGAGCTTGGTTCACTGGTGGAGCACGCTCCCGTTACAGGTCTAAGCACGTCAGGTTTGTGTGACAGCAATTTACCGCAAGGCGATAGTGTATTATTTTTTTTTTCAGAGTATCTGTTTTCTCATTCGTCTCTACAGTTTGTATAACGTCTCTATACGAGCTATCCACCTATCGTTTTCTGAATTATTTTTTTTTACAATTATCACTGAAGAAACCAACAAGAAAATAACAAAAACAATGTTGTGCACGACACTTCGCTCGCTGAATTAAATGGTATGGGATTTCCTTTTTGACACCTGCGAACTCAGTGTAATCACTTTCCACAAAATGCAAGGAGCATATAAATCAAGTAGCGTCCGCTTTCCGAGGTGCCCGTAAATGTTCTACAGGAATTGCAGCCAGCCATTGGTCCCGATCCCGTTGATCTTTCGGAAACTCTGTCGCACAATGCCCCTTTTTTTTCGGACGCAGGACATGTGAGCCAGCTCTTCACGCAACATCTTGGGTGTATTCTTTTCGGAGCCGACCATGGAAATTCACCACGGTCACTCGCTACTCATCTCCAACTCCTCAATGTACAAAACAACTCACCTTGGAGTACAGAACAACGAGCGGAACAAACATAACTGCAAAAGAATCACACGGCGAACAGTTCCCGTACGCCGCATGTCGTGTCGTCTGCTACGGAGAGGAGGAAAAAAAAAACGCACGGTCGGGTGTAGCCCCGTGACTTCCGCCACTCACTCTCTTCTTTCCACCAGTGTTGCGGAGTTGCCACTCCGGAGTTGGAATGATTCCGGAATTATTCCGCATTTTCACGACCCCGGAATGGAATGGGAATAGAATGGCGGCAACGTTGAAGGGAATGGAATGGGAATGGAATTAGGTGCCTTTTGCCCGGAATGGAATGGAAATGGAATAAACACAGTTCTTTTTTTTCTTCTTTTTTTAGTATTTACGGTCAGCTAAACCGAGCCAGTCAGTGAGTCAGTTGCTCAGAAATAAAATGAGCGGGAAACTGCTAGCCCGCGAGGAGCCCTAAATGACTTATACGCCAACAAAATGCAATACAAAAAAACAAGCGTCAAAGCAAAGAGCGAAGGGGGAAAGGGGGTAACGTGGCGCCTTTCACGGACGCGCAGGCGTCGGGCTTCGATGGCGTTACACGAGAGCGAAACAAGAAACCAAGCACCAAGCAAAAGAAAAGGGAGCGGCAAAGAAAGAAACCGCCATGCACAACTCCTAATCGTACTTCTTGTCATGATTTTTTTTTTTTGTTGTTGTTGCTACGGCTTGTAGAATGCACGCACTCGCACAGACTGAGATCTGGGAGCGGAAGCGACTCATAACTCGCAGAGCTCTGATAACTCGTTGACTCGGGCGCCGTCGAAAGATGATCAGGTATTGTTTTCTTATAGTTCGAGGCGCGTTGTTTAGCAGGCAGCCAACCCTGCTGCCTTCCACGTTTATTCGTGCGCACTCCTTTCCTTTGAAATGCGAAATGTGGGTTTGCTTCGGCATTAAAACCCAAAGAGAGATTCACTTCCCTCTTCTCCTCTTGCGCTTTGCTCCGAGGCTTGTTTTTTTTTAATTTTTTTTATTTTATTTTTTTGTTTTGCATTTTTATTGTATGTCCGCCTATTACTTGGTCTTTGTTCTGATGCTTGTTTTCTGTGTTTTATGTTTTAGTGGGCTGGGGTTACAAGCAAGCTAGCGGATTCCCGCTCATTTCCCTTGACTTTAGTCTCTGCATACTTCGTTTCACCTTGCGATGGACCGCTGCGGACGCTACGAGTCACACTAGACAATCCAGTACCGTGAGCGGGACTGCAGGGTGACGCAGCACTCAGAAAGCACTGGATTGGTTTCGATGGCTCTCATGCTGTCTGTTGAAG